TTTCGGGGTTCCGTGCCTTGGCGGCTCCCCGAGCCTTCGCTCGATGTGTTCACGGACGGGTCGTCTCTCGGCTGGGGCTTTGTGACCAGTGCTCACCAGGTCGGCCGAGGTTGATGGAGTCTGTCTGTCCGTCGGGCTCACAGCCCGGTTCAGGTGTTCATGGCTGTCTGGTTTGCGCTTCGGAGGGTTTGGGTCACTAGGTACTCTACCATTCAGCTCTGTTTGGACTGTTCTCTGGTGGTTCTTGCCGGAACCACAGGGGGTTTGGTTAACCGTGTGGTTCGTGTCCGGGGTGTGTCCTGCGTCCTGGTGGACAGCTGTCTCGGTTCATTCCTCTTCGTGGGTTGGCCAGTCGTCGCCGATTCGTTTTGTTGGCTCTGTTGGGCTTATGGACTCCTGGCCATGGACGTCTTCGGGTCGGCGTGGTCTAGGCGTCGCCCGTTTTGTGGCGCCCTTCCCACCTGCGAGGACTTCACGGTGGAGGCTTTCGGCAGGCCTGGTCGAGGTGGGGGGTACCTGTACCTCTTCTCCCGGTCCAGCTGTTGCTTCGGGTTCTGGCTCAGTTGCAGCCCATTCCCACGAGAACAGTCCTTATGGTTCCACTGTGGCCGGCCCGGCCTTCTTTTCAGACGCTGCTTGATAGGTGTCCGTACCTGGGGCGTTTTTCCTGAGGCTTCGCCTCTTTCAGCAGGCCGAATCGGTCCTGTCCGTGACTGGTTCGGCCTTCTCTTTGGCTCTTCGCGTCTGGTATTTTGACGCAGGTATCGCCATCTCTATGGTGTTCAGGTGGCTTTGTTGACGGTGTCCCACCTGCGAGCTTCGTCTTGGAGACTGTATGACGGTTCTTACGTCTTCTCGCGTTTTGTTTCCCCTCCGGCCTGCTCATGAGTCGCCTGAGCCATCCTGGTCCTTGTTCAGGGTGCCTTCTTCTCTTCCCCTCAGTTTGTGGTAGCCCCTTCGGTTTCAGTTTCCTCCTCTTTGGTACTGGTGGTAGCTTTATTGGTGTGCAGCCTTTCTCTGTCCTGGCGACGGTCGAGACGGCTGCTTTCCGGAGGGGTTCTTGGGGTATTGGTACTTGTTTGGTTTGGCCGGGGGGTGCGTCCTGTGTTGTCCAGTTGTGCTTTTTGCTGTTGCCGGCGTACCGTGCCTGGGGATGCGCTGTGGTTGATCCGGTTCCTTCGTTCCCTGTTTTCAGGGCTCGGGTTTCCCGGGTCGTCCGCAGTGTTTTCCTTCTTACTGCGGTCTGTCTTTGCGCCCGTGCTGTTCAGACGTTTGCAGCAATTGCTGCTGTGTTGGTGACGTTTCGGGCGCAGGAAATTGTGGGTCGCACAGGTTTTTGGCCGCCCATCCATATGTGCGTCTGTTCTTGGGCGTTCTTGTTGCCTTGGGTCGCAGGTTTGCGACCGGTTGTCTTGGCTTTGCGTTGCAGAGTTTGTGGCGTCCGCCTCCCGGGTTAGCCCTTTCTTTTCCTTCTCTTTGGGTATGAAGCTCCAGGGAGCCGTAGGGGCTCCCCACAGAAAACCAGCGTTGAATGTAATGAAACGCCATTTTCTGGGTGAGCCCCGGAGGCTCCCTGGAAACCCTCCCTCCCACCGGTCGGCGGTTTTTTTCGCGTTGGTTGACGCTTAGCTCCCCCCTCCCCCTCCCGGGGTGGGGAGGGCTGCGCGGACGATCGGCGCGGCAGTAAAGTGTGATGTTTGCTTGTTTGCTTGTTTCCTTGGGATTGTAGGGAGTTTTCTACCTCTCTGTTCGGTTTTTGTTGTAGTTTCTTACCATGTGGGGTTTGTTTTGTTACGCCTACCTTTCTGGGTGCCTAACCCCGGTCGATGGCAGATAAGGAAAACCCCCAACCATATGGGGTTTTCCAGGGCCATTGCTCCCTGAAACCTCTCTGAAGGGGCCAGGTTCTGGCGCTGGTCCCTGGTAGGTCTGAACTCCTTAGCTAATGTCCCGGTCTAACATAACACACATTAGCCCGATAAGCTCCAGGGAGCCTCCGGGGCTCACCCAGAAAATGGCGTTTCATTACATTCAACGCTGGTTTTTTTGTTTTTTTTAAAGTGCCAGACCAAGTGGGCTGTTGTGGATATGTGGACTGCTCCAAGCAACAGCTTGTTGGACCAACCCTCATTGTCTTCCCTCCAGAAGTGTTACTGTGGCTGTGGTCCCGCCTTTGGCTGTTCAGGAGGGGGTCCCGGGTTGCTCAGCGGTTGCTTGGGCGGTTGTGCGGGAGTTTGCACTTTGGCGTGCTTGTCTGCCCGCGGAGTCGGGTTTGGCTCCGGCGTCGGTTGGTTCCTACGGAGACTCCACTTCCGCCTCTTGCATTCCTTGGGTTCCTCTGGGGATCTGGTGTTGGTGCTGCGTCACCAGCTTCCTCTTTGGGGTTTTCGGGGTTCCGTGCCTTGGCGGCTCCCCGAGCCTTCGCTCGATGTGTTCACGGACGGGTCGTCTCTCGGCTGGGGCTTTGTGACCAGTGCTCACCAGGTCGGCCGAGGTTGATGGAGTCTGTCTGTCCGTCGGGCTCACAGCCCGGTTCAGGTGTTCATGGCTGTCTGGTTTGCGCTTCGGAGGGTTTGGGTCACTAGGTACTCTACCATTCAGCTCTGTTTGGACTGTTCTCTGGTGGTTCTTGCCGGAACCACAGGGGGTTTGGTTAACCGTGTGGTTCGTGTCCGGGGTGTGTCCTGCGTCCTGGTGGACAGCTGTCTCGGTTCATTCCTCTTCGTGGGTTGGCCAGTCGTCGCCGATTCGTTTTGTTGGCTCTGTTGGGCTTATGGACTCCTGGCCATGGACGTCTTCGGGTCGGCGTGGTCTAGGCGTCGCCCGTTTTGTGGCGCCCTTCCCACCTGCGAGGACTTCACGGTGGAGGCTTTCGGCAGGCCTGGTCGAGGTGGGGGGTACCTGTACCTCTTCTCCCGGTCCAGCTGTTGCTTCGGGTTCTGGCTCAGTTGCAGCCCATTCCCACGAGAACAGTCCTTATGGTTCCACTGTGGCCGGCCCGGCCTTCTTTTCAGACGCTGCTTGATAGGTGTCCGTACCTGGGGCGTTTTTCCTGAGGCTTCGCCTCTTTCAGCAGGCCGAATCGGTCCTGTCCGTGACTGGTTCGGCCTTCTCTTTGGCTCTTCGCGTCTGGTATTTTGACGCAGGTATCGCCATCTCTATGGTGTTCAGGTGGCTTTGTTGACGGTGTCCCACCTGCGAGCTTCGTCTTGGAGACTGTATGACGGTTCTTACGTCTTCTCGCGTTTTGTTTCCCCTCCGGCCTGCTCATGAGTCGCCTGAGCCATCCTGGTCCTTGTTCAGGGTGCCTTCTTCTCTTCCCCTCAGTTTGTGGTAGCCCCTTCGGTTTCAGTTTCCTCCTCTTTGGTACTGGTGGTAGCTTTATTGGTGTGCAGCCTTTCTCTGTCCTGGCGACGGTCGAGACGGCTGCTTTCCGGAGGGGTTCTTGGGGTATTGGTACTTGTTTGGTTTGGCCGGGGGGTGCGTCCTGTGTTGTCCAGTTGTGCTTTTTGCTGTTGCCGGCGTACCGTGCCTGGGGATGCGCTGTGGTTGATCCGGTTCCTTCGTTCCCTGTTTTCAGGGCTCGGGTTTCCCGGGTCGTCCGCAGTGTTTTCCTTCTTACTGCGGTCTGTCTTTGCGCCCGTGCTGTTCAGACGTTTGCAGCAATTGCTGCTGTGTTGGTGACGTTTCGGGCGCAGGAAATTGTGGGTCGCACAGGTTTTTGGCCGCCCATCCATATGTGCGTCTGTTCTTGGGCGTTCTTGTTGCCTTGGGTCGCAGGTTTGCGACCGGTTGTCTTGGCTTTGCGTTGCAGAGTTTGTGGCGTCCGCCTCCCGGGTTAGCCCTTTCTTTTCCTTCTCTTTGGGTATGAAGCTCCAGGGAGCCGTAGGGGCTCCCCACAGAAAACCAGCGTTGAATGTAATGAAACGCCATTTTCTGGGTGAGCCCCGGAGGCTCCCTGGAAACCCTCCCTCCCACCGGTCGGCGGTTTTTTCGCGTTGGTTGACGCTTAGCTCCCCCCTCCCCCTCCCGGGGTGGGGAGGGCTGCGCGGACGATCGGCGCGGCAGTAAAGTGTGATGTTTGCTTGTTTGCTTGTTTCCTTGGGATTGTAGGGAGTTTTCTACCTCTCTGTTCGGTTTTTGTTGTAGTTTCTTACCATGTGGGGTTTGTTTTGTTACGCCTACCTTTCTGGGTGCCTAACCCCGGTCGATGGCAGATAAGGAAAACCCCAACCATATGGGGTTTTCCAGGGCCATTGCTCCCTGAAACCTCTCTGAAGGGGCCAGGTTCTGGCGCTGGTCCCTGGTAGGTCTGAACTCCTTAGCTAATGTCCCGGTCTAACATAACACACATTAGCCCGATAAGCTCCAGGGAGCCTCCGGGGCTCACCCAGAAAATGGTGTTTCATTACATTCAACGCTGGTTTTTTGTCTCATTACTGCTTTCTAATCACGTACCATACTTTACTTTCAGGTTCGAAGTTTCTTGATGTGATTTTAAATTTATTTAGATCCTGATGGCCATTCCTCTAGCCTCTGTTGTGCAGCCTGATTATGGTTTTAGCTGTATTGTCTATCGGGCTACTTCTGTTTTGCAGACCCATGCTTTTTAATGTAGGCTTTTGCAGCCCCTGTGTGTGTGTGTGTTGCGATTTTCAAACCCCACTGTTTTATGAGAAAGTTTACAAGCTTTTTAAATATGAGCGACAATAGTTTATTCCATTTCTTTGGTCTATAGTATAATATGCTACAATATTAACTTCATATTTCTTTTGTTCATGAGAACTGATTTAAAAATAAAAAATCCTTAACTCATAATTAAGAGGTAAATCATAGATTGGATTAATTTTATGTTTATAGGTATTTATTTTTATCCATGAAGATACAGTAAATAATTTCATTTATGTTACTGTGCTTGCAAATGTGAAGTGTGATTACATTAAGAGATCATTTTACAGCTGAGGTCTTTAATCAGACTACCATTGCTACTTTCTTAACAGAGGCCAAAGTATTCACCCGTTCTGTAACAAGGTGAAGAGAGATCCATTAGAAACTGACTGTACAGAAGACCGAAGCTCTGTTGCTCTCTGTAACTTAATAGAGCACAAGAATCAGTTGCCATTACATTACCAGGTAAGTATAGATAAAACCTGCATTCAATGTAATGAAATCCCATTTTCTGGGTGAGCCCCAGAGGCTCCCCGGAGCTTACTGGGCTGATATGTATGTATTAGACCGTGGCATCATTCAATTGGAGTTCTTGCCTACTGGGGACCACGAGCCAGAACCTGGCCCCCTCAGAGAGCCACGAGGAGCAATGGTCTATGGAAACCCCCGTGTATTTGGAAGCATTCCATGTCTGCCATCAACCGGGGTTTGGTACCCAGAAAGGTAGACATAACAAAACAAACCCCAAATGGTAAAAATCGCTACCTAAAACCAAACGGAGAGGTAGAACTCCCAAACTAAAACAAGCAAATGTCACTAACGTTACCATTGCAGCAGACGCTCGTCCTTGCAGCAGATTCGGATATCTGAACCTGAACCTTGGGGTCTGGGCGTCCTGGACCCCCTGTGCTGGCCACTTCAGCATTCAGTTCTAAAGCTGAGCATAAAAAATAATGCAATAAAACCACTGACTGAAGGGAGGGAGGGTGCTGGGAAGCCTATGGGGCTCACCCAGACAAATGGCGTTTCATTACATTCAACGCTGGTTTTCTGTGGGGAAGCCCCTACGGCTCCCTGGAGCTACCTCTCTTAAGAAAAGTGACAGAGGGACTTGCCTGGGAGGCAGCCGCCACTCGCCTCTCAAGGCAAAGTTGAGACAACTGGCTGCAACCTGCGACCCAAAGCAACACGCACCCCTACTAGGGCCAGGAACGTTGATTCGGTTTGGACACCGAGCAAACAGCACCGGAAACCAAGGCTGGGATGGCCACCAAAGAACCAACAGAACTACTCTTTCCTGGTAAGTTCTAACCAAGCCGGGACTCGAAATAACAGCTGGACCGGGAAAAAGAGGTACAGGTAACCCCATCTCGACCAGTCCTGTCGAAAGGCGTCCATCGCAACGGTCTCGCAGTTGGGGGAAAGGCGCCACATATACGGGAAGACGCCGGGACCACGCCGACGCTAAGAGGTCCACATCAGGGAGTCCATATACGCCCAGCAGAGCCAACTGAAAGAGTCGGCGTCGACTGTCCATTCTGTGGACAGGGAATGAACCGAGACAGGGCATCTGCCAGGACATTGGATACCCCCCCAAACATGAGCCGCAAGGGGAGCCAAATCCCGAGAATCCAGCAGATTAGTCCCTTGAAGAGACCAGCTCTAAAGAGCCAAGGACTAAAGAGAACCCCCGTGGTTCAGGCAATGAACCATCATGGAACAGCCCAAATGGAGCCTGATCGTCAAACCCTGAGTGATCCGAACCCTCTGAAGTGCCAGCCAAATGGCCGCGAACTCCTGCATCATGCTGTTAGCCTGATCGAAGGATGGAGCTCACCGCCCATGACCGGCCAGGTGAGCACTGGTCACAAAGCCCCAGCTGAGAGACGCTCGATGTGTTCACAGATGTCACGAGGGCTCGGGTAGACACCATGGTACCGAACTCTGAAAAACCCAAAGATGAAGTTGGCGACACAACAACTGCCACAAAGCTCCCGAGGCCAAACCCAACGATCGTGAGAGTGGCGGAAGGGAGATCCCCGAAGGAACCAGAACAGCTATGGAAGCCACATCCAACCCGGCGGGTAAATAAGCACAGCGAAGTTCAGACTCCCGCACAGCTGCTCGAGTAATCACCGAGTGATCCGGGAGCCCTCCAGAAACGGGCAAAGGCAGGACTGCAGCCGCAGCAATGACTCCGGAGGGAGATACAAGGAAGCGGTCCAAGAGTCCTACACAAGACCCAGCCAAGTCCGAACCTGGGACGGAACCAGATGGGACTTCCTCCAGTTCACCAGGAACCCGAACAAGGCAAGCTGGGAAAGAACCACACTCCTGGCGAGCAGACATGCAGACTGGCTGGGAGCCTACACCAGCCAGTCGTCGAGGTAGGTCAGAACCCGAACTCTAACAGATGCAGACGGGCCAAGACGACTCCGGTAAGATGCATGAATACACGAGGTGCAAGATTAAGGCCAAATGGAAGGAAACGAAAGCGGAAAGCCTGTCACCCCACCACAAAACCTAACCATTCCCGGAACCCTGGATGAATCGGGGCGTGCCTATACAATTCCCGGAGGTTCAGAGACACCAGCCAAGTATCCGGCTCCAAGAGAAGCCAGCCCCGAGACAGAGAGGTCATCCAAATACAGGGGCAAAAGATCCAGGGGTTCAGGTGTGACAAGTACAGAATAAACCTCAGATTTGTACAGTCCGTTTCGGAACTGGAAATAGGCGGGAACCCACCTGAGGGACGTGGACGTTTTGACCATGCCCAAACGTACCCACTCTGGCATGACCTGACGTAGTGCAGGGGAAGAGGCCTGCTCAGCCAACCTTGAACTCCTCGGAGGAGAAGCCACCCAACGCCGCCACATGAGCTAGAGCTCATCCCCCGCAAGCACAACTAGGTGAGTACAAGGTGCAAAGACATGCTACTAAGTGGCTCCCAGAACTGAAGGGCAAGAGCTATGAGGAGAGGTTAGAGGCATTAAATATGCCAAAACTAGAAGACAGAAGAAAAAGGTGATATGATCACTACGTACAAAATAGTAACCGGAATTGATAAAATCGATAGGGAAGATTTCCTGAGACCTGGAACTTCAAGAACAAGAGGTCATAGATTTAAACTAGCTAAACACAGATGCCGAAGAAATATAAGAAAATTCACTTTTGCAAACAGAGTGGTAGAAGGTTGGAACAAGTTAGGTGAGAAAGTGGTGGAGGTCAAGACCGTCAGTAGTTTCAAAGTGTTATATGACAAAGTGTTGGGAAGATGGGACACCAGGAGCGTAGCTCTCATCCTGTAACTACACTTAGGTAATTACAGGCCAGAAGAGTTGACCTGAAACGCCCACAAATCATGGGACCAGGCGTGAGCAGACAGCACAAGCCTACCCCCATCAACCCGGTAATGGGGCGTCCCGTGAAAGGGCTGACACATCTTGCAAGAACCCGGTCAACATACAATGCAACCACTGTGCTGACCAGACACCGCCGGCTCTGAAACTGGCACAACTGGCCTACCACGACTAAAGGAATCCTGAATCCTGGAACGGCTCTTCCAGGAAGGCCCACCATGGCTCCCCCTGGAGAACCAAGAAGTCCAACATGGGACAACAACTAGATGAAGCTGACAGCAGACTCCGCAAACAACAACGAACAAAGGGCAACGATAACCGTAGAGCCAAAGCCCAAGTGAATTCTAAGGAGAGAACAAGCTCAGCCTGTCGGCACGCGAGGCGAGAAGCAAAAAACAAACACTGCCTCCTTGAGAATCGGCACAAACAACTTCAACAAAGCAGCTGACGCCCTAGCCGTCAGAGTAAGCACACCGGACAAAGACTCCAGCACCTGTACATCTTCCTCAAGCCAGTCTGAGGACAGCTCGAGAAGGGAAAACAGACACAAGTCTGAGGCCAAATGCCCCCAGGCGGGCAAATCCTCAGTTACCAAGGCAGCCAAAAGGGAGGGAACCTGCACATGCAGCTGCACAACGCCAACTTCCCGAGGAAGCACGGGCGAACAAGCACGCGTTGTTGCACTCACTCTCCCACTCTCTCTCTCCCACTCTCTCTCTCAAACCCCCCCGGAGGTAAACCTGTAATACAGGTTTACCCGTGTTACAGGTTTAAGTCTTCCTCCAATGAAGTGTGTGGGTCCAACAAATCCCATGCCACACTCCCAACAAAAAGAAAGAACAGTCTACAAAGGTTCTTAAGTACCGGTTAACACTTTCGCTCGGGGATGACGCAGCATTGCGTCATCCGTTTACTGGCGGTAATGCCGGGGATGACGCAGCATTGCGTCATCCACTTTAAAAATTCGCCAAAAATCAGGTTTGTATCCGATTTTTTGGGGACTGGTTTTAAAATGTGCGCCGATGTCTTCCCATTTCCTTTGTTGAGCCTCGTGGCCCTCAGGCGGCTTGGCACACGCCGTGGGCCCATTGTCTTTGCTCCACTGTTGTGACCAATGTCGTCTCCCCTCGCATCTCAAACGTGTGAACATTTCGGCTATTTTCCGTGGCTATATTTCTTACTGCGGCTTTAGAAACTATCTACGCTTACTCCACGATGGATAGTAATCATGAACAAGGCCCTTCCAGGAAGAAAATTGCGAAAGAAAGGCTTGAAAAGGGTGGGAATTGGGAGTGTAGTAGGAAGGCCTCTGAGCGCTCACTCACGGCTAACGCGTGGCCCGTCTTCAACTCGTCGGCGGTTGGAGCGTGACCAGGTGTTTTTTTTTATATGCTAATGTTCCTCTAGAGAATTTTATTACGAACCCATTGAGACCAAAATGAAAGACCTAGGACAAAAATTGAGGTGACCAGAGTGAAAATAGTGAAAACATTTTATCCCGTTTGCGCGCTCCCGGGTAACTCGTTCGCACTTTCTCTGTTTGCTGCGGGTAATTAGCCGGGCTTTTGGAGTTTATATGCATTTAGTGCTGTAGAGAATTTTATTGCGAACACAATGATACCAAATTTATTCTCGTAGAAGGAGAATTGAGGTGACAAAGTTGAAGAGAGTATACACTTTTCGGAATTAACGCGCGCTTCCGTGACACGCTGGGGCCCATATCGCCCTGTCGAGGGGTGGCGCGCGGGGTGAGCGAAAGTGTTAAGTCACTATCTTACAGCTGTAGCCAATCATGACGCTGGCATATCGGAGCGTATGCGTGAACACTTGCAACATATTTACGTCAAATTTTCTTATAAAATTAGTATATTTTGAAGGCAAACTGTTTTTTCAAATTCTACAGTCAGCACCAACATTGTAGTAAACAAATATGTTACATTTTCTGGGGGGAGCCCCGTCGGCTCCCCGGAGCTATCCTAGGCTGATATGCTAATGTCAGACTTTGGCATCAGTCATGTGTATGGAGTTCTTAGGCCTACCGGGGACCACGGCCAGAACCGGGCCCCCTCAGAGAGGCAAGGGGAGCAATGGCCTATAAAAGTCCCC